TACAAATCATTTAACTTCAGTGAATTCTCATCGTACATTAGTATTTTTACGAAAACATTATATAACTTCACGGTGGAAAACTCGGCAGGAGTGACTGGTGAATAACGAAGAACAAAGCTAGCAACTCCCCGTTAAGCGAATTGTACCTACATCAGCTCGTAATTAACTCGCTCATCGTGAACCCTCCATGAGATATCAAGGAAGTTCCAGACTAGAAAGAAGACTTTATATTGCTTGTAGGTTTGTAATTTTTTTTATATAAATCATTGTGTGCAATAACTATTTGTAATAACTGTTATTGTAGATTGTATTGTTGTTTGTATATTACAACATATTTGTATTAAAAAAAAAGAAAACTGTGTGTATCAATCTTGTTGGCAAATATCATAAATTGGAGATATATCGGCATATATTTAACTACTAAATTTAAATTGTCGGTTAATTCAGTTTCAGACCTTTCGAAATTCTAATACGTAACAGTAGCTTTTAACTAGGTTTAAAACTTCTGCTTGAGAAAAACTTTTGTCACGTGATAAGTTGACAAAGAAAGAAAGCTGTTAGCCAATTAGCAGCTTTGAAGACGACAAACAACAAGTTTATGTTATATTAGAACTGAGAATCAACAGGTAAATTAAGTTTTAATACTAGAATTAAAAGAACTTAAAACACTAAAATTTGTTATTATTCTTTAATTAGACACTCAACGTTTTGCTTTATTTCATATCTTTTTAACTTTTTATTTCACTGTGTAGTGATGAAAAGTTGAATGTCCAATTAAAGAATAATTACAAATTTTGGAGTCATAAGATCGTTTATTTCTAGTATTAAAATGTATTTTATACACCAATGTGCACTACAGACATTTACAATGAGGTAAATTAGATTATGTTTCAATGTTCGAAAGTGGTTACGAATATGCAACGATTACCTGAAACCAAAATGTTTTTGTTCAATCACAATGAAAGAGAGAGACAGGTGGAACACAACGAGAGTCGTTACTTTTCACAACCTCAGGAGTTGCAGCAGCGTATAAAAAACAGTTAGTAACAACTTATGAAAAAACAGTGACGTTCCAACATCAAAAATGAAACTACTTTATGGAGTAACAGTGAAATTTTTGAAGCAAAAAAATATCAATATGATTGCAACAATGGCGTCTGTATAAGCCGTAGGTAATGCCAAGTCTAAAAGGAATTACACATGATGAAACTTTGTTGAATGGACGGCAACTGTCAAGTGTAGAGGATGACGTTTCGAAAGTCTTCCGCCTTTCGTCTTCAGGTCCTGTTCATCAAAACACACATACACATCTGTTTGTATAAAAGGGTGTGCTTTTGGTATAATATTTTTCGAAACAGATCAACGCTTTGTTCAGACAATTTATCTGTACTAGGTGTAGAGTCATATACCTCGTCATATACGTGCCAGAAGTTATAGAGCGTCAAATTGTTCGACTGTCCAGAAATAGTATGAATCAAATGGACAGTGCCATAATAGTAGGGTATCCCAAGTGAACTGTATCCAGAAACCTAAAACGTCACCATACTACAGGAAACGTTGTTCCAGGAAGGTTTACTTATAGACGCCGAAAAACTACTTCTCGAGATGACTGTTTTTGATCAGGTTAACAGGTCAAGGTCTAAAGAAGTCTTTCAACACCTTACGACAACAGGAACGACATGAACACGTTCATTCCAGGGAATCCAGGAGAACATTGATTAAGAGACTGACCAAACAAGGTTATTTTGCTAGAAGGGCTAACTGGAAACCGATATTAACCAGAATTCACCACCGTCATCATGTTACTTGGGCAATACAGCATGACAACTTACAGTTAGGGCACCGACGACATGTGATTTTTCAGATGATTCCTGTTTCGGCTTATTAAAGCTGATGATAGGATTCGTGTTCGTTGTTTACCTGGAGAACAGATGAGGGAAAACTGTCTTTCTCAAAGAGAACACACAGGATGTGGTGCAGTACATGTTTGGGCAACTATTGATCATGGTGGAAAAACTGTTCTTCATATCCTCCAGGGAAACGTCAATGGCGCCTTCTACAGGCATCACACGGTGACGATATTTCTGCCATATGTTAGGGCAAAGTTTGGCAATAATTTTGTTTTCCAAGATGACAAAGCCACTATCCACAGTGCACGTATTGTACAGGATTACGTCGACCAGGAGAATGTTACAAGATTGCCATGGCCAACAAAGTCTCCAGATTGTAATCTCATTGAGAACTGTTGGGCAGAACTAAGCCGGAAAAAATGCTAACCACTGAGTTGCAGCGCCTTCTAGTGACAAGTTGGGAAAACATCACCGTGGATAACATCAATAACCTCATCGATAGCATGCCACGTCGCTTTGTAGAGGCTATTAGAGTAGGAGGAGTACCAACCAAATACTGAATGTTTAATATGAACTGATATAAAGTTACAGACGCTGTTTATAATAATTTGATATTATATTTCGTCATTATATATGTTTTGGTAAGGTTTTATTGTGATAGGTGAAATGCTGAATT